AGTCTTCTCACAAAATGTTAGAATATAAAGCAAATTAATAGGTCAAAAGAATGCTTCTTTTACATCATCTTGGTATACTTCAAGAAATATATATCAAACACGAGAGACAGTTTTTCATCGGGATATCCAAACACCGAGAAGAGAGTTTTTTTTTTCTTTTCACGATACAACTACGACGTCAAGTTCTTGCAATTTAAAAACCTCCCAGACTTCTACAGAGAAGGGAGTTGAAGTTCGAAATTCGAGGTCTTTGGATAGACGATAAACACTGTCTCGAGTGTTTGATATATCTTCTCAATCGAGACTAAAACTAAGGAGTTAACGGAAGGGTAAAATCGTCAAAATCTATGCTAATTGAGACCGGGTACCGTATCCAAACCTCCTTCACGGTTGTGATTTTCTTTGTTTTAACTTGATGAATTATTAATGAATTTGAGAAGAACCTTTCAGAAGAGTAGTAGTAACTAGTGTTTTGTCTACAGGGCTGACTAACTAAAGTACACAATAAAAAGATTAGCGAGGAAACTTTCAGTAATTCTCTACATATCTCATGCTCGAGTAACCCTTAAGTCTGTCCGGTTAAGTATTTAAGAATGCTTTCATTCCTGACCACCGCTGACAAGCATAGCAAACCCAGCAGACTTGTCACGTGACTTTTTGAATATCATCAGTGCCGTCCCGGCCAAGCAAGCAAGGCACATCACAAGCAGAGCCATGAGGAAGACGGAGCTGGAACCTAGGGGGATTGAGAACATAAATAACAAGAAGCAAGATGACAACACATGATAATTTCTCAAAATCGTTCTTTACNTATGCTTTTACCTTTGGCGATCTCTGGCCTGGTTCTTTGTAATAGTGAAAGTGCACTCCATCGTCACTGTATTGTAGCTGGTATTTGGTTACCCACTGACTGTGTCCATTTCTTCCTTGTGTAGCTATACCTGTTAAATTGGTGTAACTCCCAAGGGCCACCTGAATCCATTGATTGGCGTCATTAGAGCGAGCTGACCATGCCCCTTGTTTGCCTCCACCTGCCTTAAAATGCAACCTTGCCTGGATTGCAGCGTGATTTGAATCCCACTCAGAAGAGGCGGTGATTTGAGCATCTTTGATGAGACGCATTTCCATGCCTAGAGATGCTGTACATGGCGCTGCGGTGCACAACACAAAACATAAGTTAACCTTAAAAGAAATAAACAAACGAACAAACAAACAAACAAAACAAAAGAGTTAACATCGAACTACTCATCCTTTCAATCTCACAGCTCCCCACCAAAAATACTGAGCTTTTCTAGTTAGCAGTCTGAGAAAAATATAGCCTTTCCAGATTAAAAGACTCTTTTGAAAAAATATTTTTGCCTTTGATTTTGTTAGGCTACGCTCTAATGCTTGTAATGTTTAGTTGAGAACTTCAAAATTTGGCTTCTTCTTCCCCGACTGTTGCCATGCTCTTTACTTGTATGTAACTAAAGGCGTTTTCAGATAAAACTTCACGTCCAAAACTAAACTCAAACNATATACAAAACACGTCATTCTTAAGCAATCAGATATTATCTTAAGATGTTCCACACAGCTTAAAAAGTTGCAAATAATCAGACTACAACATACCTAGACAACCATACAGTTCCATCCTCAGTGAAATATGACTGGACCACGCTGTTGGCCTGAGTCTGATGTAGCTTGCTTGGATTGGCGGGTTTAAGTTGTGGTRAACAATGCTGTCTCTGTCCTTATTTCCACTAAACACCTAATCATTAGCATCAACAGATCTACAGTAAAGCTTCTCATAACAGAAATAAAACTGAATTAGTTTAGGTGTAAAATGGTTGCATGAATCCGTGCAGGGATTTAAAATTGTCAGATTGGTATGCTTTTACCTTTGGCGATCTCTGGCCTGGTTCTTTGTAATAGTAAAAGATCACTCCATCGTCACTGTATTGCAGCTGGTATTTGGTTACCCACTGGCTGTGTCCGTTTCTTCCTTGTGTAGCTATACCTGTTAATTTGGTGTATCTCCCAAGGGCCACCTGAATCCATTGATTGGCGTCATTAGAGCGAGCTGACCATGCCCCTTGTTTGCCTCCACCTGCCTTAAAGTGCAACCTTGCCTGGACTGCAGCGTGATTTGAATCCCACTCAGAAGAGGCGCTAATTTGAGCATCTTTGATGAGATGCGATTCCATTCCTAGAGATGCTGTACATAGCGCTGCCGTGAAAACACAAAATATGGGTAAACCATCAATGTAAAAAACAAACTAACTGACAAACTAACTAAACAAAATAGTTAACATCGAACTACTGATTTTTTCAACCTCACAGCTCTTCACCAAGAATAGCCAGCTCTTCTAGTTAGTAGTCTCCGAAAAATAAAGCCTTTCCAGATTAAAAGACTGTTTTAAAAATAATATTTTTGCCTTTGATTTTGCTAGGTTATGCCGTAATGGTTGTGATGTTTAGCTGAGAACTGCAAACTTTGGCTTCTTCTTTCCCGACTGTTGCCATGCTCTTTACTTGTATGTAACTAAAGGCGTTTTCAGATAAAAATTCACGTCCAAAACTAAACTCAAACCTCACCTCTTTAAAACATAAAACTCGTTTGGATCATGACTCCAACTCCAGTTCCCTATTTATATTAATAGTACGGATGCCGGTAATTTCCAGGTTAGAAAATACTTTTAAACAAACATAAGACCGGCTTTAAGTACTAGCCAATACAACACAGGTCACTCTTAAGCAATCAGATGTTATCTTAAGGTGTTCCACTAAGCTAAAAAAGTTGCAAGTAATCAGATTATAATCATACCTAAACAACCATACAGTTCCATCCTCAGTGAAATATGACCGTACCACGCTGTTGGCCTGAGTCTGATGTAGTGAGCTTGGATTGGCGTGTTCAACTTGTGGTAAACAATGCTGTCTCTGTCCTTATTTCCACTAAACACCTAATCATTAGCATCAACAGATCTACAGTAAAGCTTCTCATAACAGAAATAAAACTGAATTAGTTTAGGTGTAAAATGGTTGCATGAATCCGTGCAGGGATTTAAAATTGTCAGATTGGTATGCTTTTACCTTTGGCGATCTCTGGCCTGGTTCTTTGTAATAGTAAAAGATCACTCCATCGTCACTGTATTGCAGCTGGTATTTGGTTACCCACTGGCTGTGTCCGTTTCTTCCTTGTGTAGCTATACCTGTTAATTTGGTGTATCTCCCAAGGGCCACCTGAATCCATTGATTGGCGTCATTAGAGCGAGCTGACCATGCCCCTTGTTTGCCTCCACCTGCCTTAAAGTGCAACCTTGCCTGGACTGCAGCGTGATTTGAATCCCACTCAGAAGAGGCGGTGATTTGAGCATCTTTGATGAGATGCGATTCCATCCCTAGAGATGCTGTACATGGCGCTGCCGTGCAAAACACAAAACATAAGTGAACCATTAAAGAAAAACAAACAAACAAAACAAAAGGGTCAACATCGAATTACTGATCCTTTCAACCTCGAAGGTTTACAACAAGAATACTGAGCTCTTTTAGTTGGCAGTGTAAGAAAACTAAAGCCTCCCCAGATTAAAAGACTGTTTCAAAAATAGTTTTTCTACTTTGATTTTGTTAGGCTATGCTCTAATGCTTTTAATGTTTAGTTGAGAACTGCAAGATTTGGCTTCTTTTCCCCCGACTGTTCCCCTGCACTTTACTTGTCTGTAACTAAAGGGGTTTTCAGATAAAAATTCACGTCCGAAACTAAACTCAAACCTCACCTCTTTGAAACATAAAACTTGTTTGGGTTATGAACCCAACTCTGGTTCCCTATTTCTATTAATAGCATGTATATGCCGATAATTTAGAGGTTAGAAAAGCCTTTTAAACAAACATAAGACCAGCTTTCAGTACTAGCAAATACAAAACAAGTCATTCTTAAGCAATCAGATATTATCTTAAGATGTTCCACACAGCTTAAAAAGTTGCAAGTAATCAGACTACAATCATACCTAAACATCCATACAGTTCCATCCTCAGTGAAATATGACTGGACCACGCTGTTGGCCTGAGTCTGATGTAGCTTGCTTGGATTGGCGGGTTAAAGTTGTGGTAAACAATGCTGTCTCTGTCCTTATTTCCACTAAACACCTAATCATTAGCATCAACAGATCTACAGTAAAGCTTCTCATAACAAAAATAAAAGTGGATTAGTTTAGTTGTAAAATGGTTGCATGAATACGTGCAGCGATTTAAAATTGTCAGATTGGTATGCTTTTACCTTTGGCGATCTCTGGCCTGGTTCTTTGTAATAGTGAAAG